TCACCGCCCGGCCGAAACCGGAAAGTCTGCTTTGCCAGCCCTGGAACCGGGCGGCCCCAGCAGCTCGGTCAGCCCCACCTCACCGCTGACCCAAGCAGTGCTCACGCAGGTGAAAAGCCAACGGGGAACTCCCCACCAGACCAGGAAGCAAAGCCTGCCTTCCCGCCTGCGAGAAGCCGGCAGGCATCGCTGCCCAGCTCTGTGCCCTGGCAAATTCACAGCTTCAGGTTATCCCTGCAGCGGTGCTGGGCTGGATGGTGTGGCTGCAGGCACCCAGTGCCAGGGGATGGATGCTTGCAAGGTGACAGGCGCATGGCTGCACCCATCCCTGGCGAGCTCTGCGCCCAGGGAGAGCAGATTGTTGGCCCCGCGGTTTGATGCACCACGCGAGGGCCTGGGAAATGCGTGCAGCAGTGAGGATGAATGGGGATGCTCCACTCCAACGCGGCAGGGAGGATGGATGGGGCGAGGGGACACTGCCTGGGTGGCTCCATCCCCCAGCGCCAACGGGAGCAGCACCAAGCACACGGACAGGAGCGACTTCCCTGGCATCCCTGTCACATTAAATTTATGCTTGCACACTTCTTCCCTCGCTGCCAGTTCAGCACAGCCAGCCCAAAAATTGCCTTGTCACTGTAGAAATTTAGGGCTGTGCCACAAGCAGGGAGCGATACCGCCGGTGCCCGATGGCTGACACAGACGTGGAGGGAGAGGCCGCGGAAACCAGGCCCATCCCAGCTCTGCCCAGCCACCCTGGCTCACTGATCCTGCCAAATTTTCATGTAGTCACCAAGGCGTTGCCACGCTGGGTGCCTGGCCACAGGAGAGGTGCCGGGGTTGCCTCTTGGCCACCCAAAACACGGCCCCACTCACAAGTGCCCTGCACTCCTGCTGCTCAGAGAAGCATCATCCCCAGGAGCAGGAGATGCTGCAAGAACAATGCTGCAGCAGACCTCAGAGGGGAAACATAGATGCCAAAACACTTTTTGCTCTAAACTGGCAGTCCTGGAGGATGCATGGGAGAAATCTGTAAGGGGGACGGGGGGAAAGGGAACATGCCCATTAAAATCAGTCAGGGAAAGGGGGTTTGCATAGGCACGCTAGCAGCTGAACACATCAGTAGCCTTTTCAACAGGCTGTTTGCTAGAGACAAGCATCTCGGTGAAGCCAAGCTGCCTAGGACCCTGTTCGCAGACCCCGCTTTAGGGCGAGATGTGGTGATGCTGGTGATGACCTGGTGCCACACAGGGGGACACAGCTGCCTGGCCTCGATGCAGGGGAGTTTGGTCTCCTTTGGCAGGAGCCAGGCTGGGGAGGCTGGTGCTCTGGGCCATCTTCCCGCAGTGGGGCAGGGACGTGTCCCAGCTGGGCAATGGAAAAGCTGCAGGATAGCAGCTGCTCCTCTGTGTCAGCAGCCCCCCCTCCAAAAAAAATCTCACTCTTGGGCAGAAAGGGGGTGTTGAAATACCCTGGCGTGATGAGCCTTGCGGAGCTGGGTGTCGCACATCCCACCTGGAACGGCAAGATCCCAGCCCAGAAATCCCCCCTGCTCGGGGCAGCCTGTAAGAGGCAGCTTTCGGAAAAGAAGGGAAAAGGGACCTAAAAACATTACTGTAACACGGCAGATGTGGCGAGCCGCGGGTGG